GAATTAACTCAGGCTCAGAGACAGTGGGAGGCTCCCCAAGGTCACACGGCTGGTTAAAGGCAAGTTTTAAATCAACACTGGTTCCCAGGCACCTTAAAAATGTCCTGTGTGGTATTTACAGTGTCACTTTGTTCATTTAGAAACATGAAGAGTAAATGTTGAATTTGGCTTGCTCATAAAACCGAGTTGTTTGCAATATGGAGAAGGTCTGGTGAGAATTTATTTTTAAAAGATGTGAAGCCATAGTCCCGTGATTTATTCTAGCCACTCAGAAACAGAGTGAGGAGGCATCCTTGCTTGCTTAGGGTCACAGCTGTCCAGGGCTTCGCCCCGCTCGCTCGCTCACACCTCTCCCTGGGCCATCTCATCCATCCATTCCTAAGGCTTCAGCCAGCCCTTAAAACCTGAGGAGTCCCAGATAGTCAGAGAGAGTGGCTAATGCACTGTGGGCACTTCTAGGCCCCGGACATTGTTCTGAGCACAACACATGGTTATTTCACTTAAACCTCACCACCACCACAGTCCACACAATACAGAGGATGAAACTGAGGCCTAGAGGTCACAGGTGGTAGCACAGACAGCTGGTTCCCTTTACCAGGACAGGGCTGCCTGTACTGCTCAGCTCCGGCTCAGGGTCCTCTCTCCTGAGCCCCAAATCCCAGGAGACAACTGCCTACTGGGCTCCCCACCAGGCTGTCCCAGAACCAACTCAAAAACAAGTCAGCTTCTGGCCTGCACCCACGCAGGCTGCCAGCATGGGGCCATGGCAGCTGGCCCTCACTCCCTTGGTTTCCTTACCCACTGCCTGCTACCTGTGCATTTTATTCCTAGCTGTTTCTCAGGTCTGTTCCCTCCTGCCAGGGTCCTCTCCACTGCACATGGCTGCAGTTTAAGTGGCCCTATGCCACACTGTCAGCCATGGCCTCTGCCCAGCCCCTCAGTCCTCAGCTGCCCTTCCCACAGATGTCAGCACAGGGTTTCCACAGGCGAACCTGAGTGCATCCCCTCTGGCCTCAGCTCTCCACGGCCCTGAGGGTGACCCGTGCTCCCTGAATCTCCCGTGGGATGGTCAGCCTGGTTCCTGGGCCAAGCTGTCCTGTTTCACACATTTGAGTTTTGACACCTGTTCCTCCTCCCTCTGAGTCCCCCCTCCCCTTCCTTCCAGCAGAGTGGGTCATTTCCTTCTTTGCTCTGAGGCTGCCCTTTAAACTGGCTCCCCCCCCCCCCCCCTTTTCTCTAGGTCAGCGGTTCTCAACCTTCCTAACGCCGCGACCCCTTAATACAGTTCATGTTGTGGTGACCCCCAACCATAAAATTATTTTCGTTGCTACTCTATAAGTGCAATTTTACTGTTATGAATCGTAATGTAAATATCTTTTTTGTTTTCCGATGGTCTTAGGCGACCCCTGTGAAAGGGTCGTTCGACCCCCAAAGGAGTCGCAACCCACAGGTTGAGAACCACTGGTCTAGATTGAAACAGTTCACTTTCCTGTCTCCCCTCCTGGGTGGCAGTAGCTATATTAGGCATTCATAGTAGTTAGGCAGAGAAGCTCTCTTTAGATGTAGGTGGATGGTGGAGTGGAGGAAGGAGTGAACGGCACAAAGCCATGCCATCAGCTCTGCATAAAACCCGTGCATTTCTACAGGGTCCTCGACCCTGTGTGGACTCCCGTTTGCTGTGCCCACGGCAACCCAGACCCACCCCACCATCGTCCAAGCCCCATCTCACCCTCTCCCCAGCAAGGCCCCCATCAGCCCAGGACCGGTGTCCCTGCCTTCAGCTCCTGGTCCTCACCCCAAGGGACTCCCTTAACCAAACTGGGAAGAATGTTTGGAATCTGCTGATGGCTGGTGGACAGAGGGGCCCCCACGGCCCTGCAGGGAGCTGCATTTGCTGGCTGTGACATCAGCACTCAGTAAATGTTTGTGGAGCAAAGGCATGAATGCACTGTAAATATTTGTTCCTGTCAAGATGCAGTCTCTGAGAGAAAAAGTTTATAAAGCCAGAGCAAAGCACCAAGGTTTGCAGACATGTGAAGTTAGTGGTTTCCAGAAAGCTAAGGTTTTAAGATGAACATGTGTTCCTTGCAGAGTCCCGACCCCTTCTAGATGAGAGGACGAAGTGGAGTTCAGCAGTGAGGAGGGGTCCAAGGGCCCAGTGGCCCCTACGCCCCATGAGGCCCTCTCCGCTCCTGTTCCCGCATCCCAGCCGGAATGGCAGCCTAAGTCTATTAGCGTGCTGGCTTCTAAGTAGCAGAGGCTGGCCTGGACCCCGCTCATCACCAGGTGTGCTGCTGTTAGTGGCAGGAAGAGCCTGGAAAAGAGAATCCTGATGCCAACTCTCCCACTTGCGGAGATGAACACTGTTAACGTTCTGTGTGAATGCTTCTAGCACTTTCCATCAATGCGTGTTCTAGCTTTCCCAATTGCTATTGAACTGTGATACCCTCTTGGATCTGGCTATGTTTGGATTTGCCCTCTTTGCAATATATTGTGAAAGATTTCTTCTGTATTTTTTCTGGTTTATTTGATTTGTTTTTTATTTTACTATTGTTTAAAACACCAATAAACGTTTTATACACTTATCTTTATAAGCGGCACATAGTTATATTTTTCAGGAAAAAATAACTTAGCAACAGGATTGCTGGACCAAAGTGTATGCACACTTTTAAGATTTGGGGTACATGTCGCCACACTGCCCTCAGAAATGTTGACCCACACGCAGAACAAGTGTGTTTCTACACACTCTCATCAACTTTTGCATCATTTCCAACTTGATACACAACCTAAAAACAAACAAATAAGCAAGCACCATCAGCTGACTTCTGGTAGCTCAAAGGTATGTATGCAGCTCGCTGGGTCCCATTGAGTTCTCTCCCAGTGAGGCGAAAGGAGAAAATTCAAAGTTGAGCCCAGCTTAAAACCTCCCGAGTCAGGAGCCTACATCTTCACATCCCACTGTGTCCCACACACTTTATTTCAACAGCCTACTCAGCCTGTGAGAGCTTTTGAGTCTAGTGATTTTCCTGGTGACAAGCCATTCCCTCCTACCTCCAAAGGACCACAATTATTCTCAAGCACCAGCACTTCCCCGATTGAGCTCCCTGCGGTGGTTTCTGGCACCGGATGCCTGTCCCCAGGTGTGCCCCTTCCCCCAGCGGCCACCGCCTTTGTAGTAACAGCAGATGAAGAAGCTGAGACATGAACAGGAGGCAGAAGCTCCTATACAGGGAGAGAATCCAGGGGCCACATAACCTTCAATCGGGGGAAAAATGCATCTTAGTTTCCCTAACCTCTGATTCTCATTAAGCATTTCCTTTGGTAATAAATGCAGGCAACAAATCACAGTAGTGATAGCTGTTGCTGTGACTTTATTGCCAGTAGAAATCATCGATACAGCAGATCCATTACAGATATGGCAGGTATTTCAAAATGTCATTAAGCTCATCCCTACTTCAAAATTACAGCAATTAATGAGACCTGCTAGATCTTGTTAATGTTGATAAATAAGCATTAGCTATTACCATACCACTAATTTATTTTTTTAATATTCTGATAACTGTATTTTAATATACATTTTTTTCTTTATGATCCTGCACATTTTTATTTTAATATTTAAAACTTTGTTCAAATAAAAAAAAAACTAATTAATCTACTACCTGACAAAGACTGTAAAAAAAAACAAAAAAATACATCTTGTTCTGAGAATGGTTTACAAAAGGATTCAAGGCACAAAACAGAGGAAGACCCCTGGAGATTTGAGCCCTCTGGAGAAGCTAACTTTTCTGTTTGATAATCCCAGAGTTACAAAACACTTTCTCTACTGGTGGAAGCAAGGATAGAGCCTCACATCTTTTCTCATTGCCCCTTTTCATTCATTAAACAGACATTTATTTATTTAGCATCTACACAGCGCCAGGCAAACTGCAAAAATGACACCAAGACAGCTCTGGTAAGAGAACGGCTGACCTCGGCAGGTGAGAGGATGAGGCGGGGAGACCCAAGGAGCCCGGGCTCAGAAAACATAGACGGCAGCTGCGCGTCGCTTTGAACTCCGTGTGTGCTCCTCCCTGAGGTAGAACTGCCATCAGAATAACCCACGGTCCCCCGTGTGGCTCTTCTCACTCCACGGCTCCCTGACTCGTCTATCAAAACCCTGCTTATTCCTGACGAGCCTCCCCCGGCTCTTCCTTTCCAGCTGGAGTTAATCGCTCTCTCTCCTTCAACACTCGCGCTCATGGGTCTTAGCGCTGTCACTTTTTATTTGTGTTATTTATGAGTCTGACTCGCTGCCTCCAGGATCCAAGCCCCCAGCGTGGTGTCTGGCGGCTTGAGGTGCCGTGGAGCTGACCCCGGAGCCCAGGGCTCGGTGGAGCTTTGAGCTCTGCCATGTCCTCTTGTTCTCAGCTGGTGGAGGGATGGGAAACTTCCTTCTCCCTCCACGGGCTGATTTGCACCGACCAGGCCTACAAATGGCAGAGCTAGAACCCCTGCTACACCAAGACCTCCCTTTGAAATTTCCTCCTGCAATCCCACCCAATCAAAGCGGGATCTCCAAGGAGATCCACTCACTCCCTCTTTCAGCCTGAGGGCTGCTTCAGACAGCTTGTTTTCTGGCGGGATTCCCTCCTCCTCTGAGGTGTTCATGTCCACTTGGCCCTCAATCCTACACTTTGTCTTCAAACCCCTCTCCTGTTTAAATTTTATCCCCTTGACCTTCTGTCTAGTTGTTTCTCTTCTCTGTCTTGTAGACAAGATCCTTAGCGTGCTGACTTGCACGCATTAACTCCCCTTCGTCTCTCCTTCACCATTCAGACCCCTCCCAGCCAAGTTTCTGCTGCTGAGCCCACCTGAGCATGTCACGTGCTCTACTTGACAGACAAGCTCCCTGGAAGCGTTTCTGTTCTCCTGTGTCCTGACATCTCTCCAGCACATTGCCATGCCGCCCGCGCGCTTCTCCTGGATCTCCCTGCCTTCCGGGGCTCACCTGCCTCGCTCACCTCTGACTGCTCCTCTTCACCTGTCTGTGGCTGGCTCTTTTGCAGCGCCTCCTTCAGCCAGGCGTTCCTGGCTCCATCCTCGGCCTCTCCTCCCAGGCTGGACTCCGCCTGAGCGGCCTACGGCCCCCAGGCTTTACCTCCACTCACAGAAATGACTCTCAACTCACTGCAGCTGTGTTTGTTAGTCAAGGCAGGCTGACGGCTGTAACAAACACCCCCCTAATGTCCGGGGCTGAGCACAGGTCAAGTTTGCTTTTAACTCTTCTCACAGTTCATTCTGAGTTGGGAGGGAGGTTGGGGAGGAGGTGCCCTGCTCCACAGTCACTCAGCGATCCCAGCTCTGCTCTCCCCCAGCTCACGGTCCTCCCCGCTCAGCTCAGGGATGCTCGGAGACCATGCGAAGCTCCTCCGGGGCCTTGCACGGTCAGCTCTGCTCACATTCCACGGGCAGAACTGGCTGTGTGCTGCTGCCAGGGAGGACGGGAAAGGTAGGGTGGCTGTGCTCAGGACAGAAAAGCTTGGGCACTGGTGAGCATGACAGTCTCTGCCGGCTAGCCCCGGTCTCTCTCCCAGCCCCAGAGCTGTCACTCAGGCTAGAAGAAGTCTCCTTAGATAGCCTGCCTTCCAGGCTCCTCACTCTACATACTCAAAAGGGACGTGGTGAGGCTCCCAGGCTGCTTAACCTTTCTATTCCTGTCCTGGTGATGGCACAGCCACCCACCCAGTTACCTGAGCTGGAAGGATCCCATACCCCTCCCCCACCCCATCCTGACCCACTACTTCCTGGTGTGTTGCTGAGGTTCCTCTCTTGCACCTGATCTGTTTCAATAGCTCAATAACGAATTTCTCTGAGGACAGTCTCATTCCTCTTTAATTCTTCCAAAAACGGACTTTATATCGTGTTCCTTCTCTGCAATTCCTTAGAGTGAATCACAGGGCCCTCCGGGCCTGATCCCTCCCTCTCCACCTCAGACCCCAGCAGCCTGCAGCTAGCTTGCATTCCTCTCGGTGAATTCACAGGATGCCTCCAACACCCCTCCCTTCTCCCCTCCCTTATTTTATCTCCATTTTATCCTAGAAGGCATAGCTCAGGTATCACATTCTTGGGAGCATTCTAAAACATTCCCAGGTAGAGTTGACCACTACCTCCATGTAGATGACTGTTGGTCATTTTACAGAATGGTCTCCACCACGAGGGCCAGTGAAGTGCTCCAGGAACCCATCCCTCACCTATGGTATTAGTAAGATTTTTCACATGCTAGTGGGCTCCGTTTGAACCATGGGAGGTGGACTCTAGTTCTGGCTTTATCTCATAATAGACTTAACACTGCTATGCAACTTGGAGAATTCAAAGTATGCAACAATAATTATCTCTTCTAAAAGTCAAAGTGTGCAACAACAATTATTCCTGTGGGGGAGAAAAATAAATGGAATCCCAGTCTGTTGACAAGGAAACAGAGACAGGACCTGTATTAGTGAGGGACCTTCCAGTTTACAAGCCACAGGAAACCAAACTTAAACGAGCTTCAGAGAGAAGAACAATGTCAGGGGTACGTGTGGCTTCAGACCTGGTGAACACAGGGTTCCACGGTGTCATGAAGACCCACATCGCGGCCCAGCTTTCGCTAAGCTGCGTCCATCTTCTGGATCCTTGTAACGGCTCCTGCAGGAACCCCAAGCTCTGTCTGTGCTCATGGCTGCACCACTTTAAAGCGTTTCATTTTCAAACTGCCTATCCCAGCAGAGAGAGAAGCTGGGATAAGTTTCTGTCCTTTGCGAGCTAAAGTCACTCTGACGGGGCCAGGTTGGGTCGCTGTGGCCAGGGGAGGAGCAGGTATCAAGCAGGACCATTTCTGTGGCCACACAGGGGGTCCCCAAAGAGGGAGAATGCACACAGGGCAGCCAACAGCAGGTGATATTCCAACCTCTTCTCAAAACAAAATTGGAAGGAGACCAAAACCTCCTTTCTGAAACTGTGTCTCTTCACATGTATGGAATTGAGGGAGAGTCTTTTGCATTATACTAATTCTTACTGTATCTGCGCTGCTGGACTGGGGCACCTCAAAAGCAGAAGTGTTTTCAATGCTGTGCCCACAGGCTCTAGGGGGACTCCCTAAGTAGGCACTTAATTAACACAGTGGGTTTTATGAATGACGAGCTAGTGGTATCCTCTATAGGAACATTTCATCCTCCAGTGCTGGCTTTTCTGGGTCCAGTGGCCCATGGTATAGGAGTGGGAAAGGTGGCCGTGTCATCTTGGCTTTGGGTCCGTGTGGTGCCATGCTGGACAGGCAGAAGGGGGTGGGGGGCTACTTGGCTTTGTGCTGTGTATTCACCTATGGACTCCGACTCAGTCGGTGCCTGTGTTTCTCTTTGCAATGTTACATCCCCTCACAAGGACACAGACATCCCTGGAACCTGCTAGCCAAGCAGCTTGACAGACTGGGAAAGGTTTGGGGCAGGGTTTTGTCTGTTGCTGTTTTCTAGAGGGGATGGCATTCACGTGCCAGCCCTGACCAGCGTGGCCACATGCACCCCTCTTGGGGACACACACTGAGGGATGGACAGAATGCCAGCACTCAGGCAGCCACGGGCCCCAGGCATACTCCACTGGATGGGGCTGCCTGGTTTTGGAAGCAGCCTAAATAGTGGCTAACAGCACAGACCTTGGTGTCAGACACAGCTGGTTGGCATCATACCTATCAGCATTAAAGTTTCTTCTTCTGCAATACAGGATAATAGTCTTCATAGGGCTGCTGTGAGAAAAAATTACTGTTATTTCAGTCACTTAGCACATAGCAACTGCTCAATAACATGTAATAATAATAACAACAGATGGGTTCCGTTTTCCTTTCCCCAGGAGACTGCAGGTCTTCATGTTGTGTGTGGCCCAGTTCAACCATTTTGTGTCTTGGAAGGAAAAAGCATAACTGCTCATTTCCAGCAGCTTGGATCTATAAAGCAAAGTAAAACCCAACAGATAATAGAACAAGCTCCAGTTGCTTTCTTCTTTAAGGAGATGTTATGTGTATTTTAAAAACATTGTTAAAATGAGGAAAGTCACAAATATGTATGAATCGGGTGTTATAGTCTGGCTTTGGGACACAACCTCAAATGCCTACCTAAGCCAGGTATGTAACCAGATGAGTGACACATACCGGCAACTGAGTGTGGGGTCATCTGTCACAGGAGTGGGGGGCTCTGGCAGGCTGGAGGCCAGGGCACAGTCTAACGTGGACAGCAGCTACGACAGCATCAGCTGATTACTGTCATGAAAGAGGAGAGACAGACTCAAGGTTGCCAGGACTTGGAACAATATTCAAGTTTCAGAAGGCATATGAGGTCGAGGTTGGACAATTAAGTTTGCAAACTCATCCTAGAAAAAGTGCTTCATACCTCATTGCTGAATATCACTATGGTCACCTTCAAAGTACTCCCCTTGGGAAGCTATACACCAATGCCAGCACCTAGTCCACCCTTCAAAGCAATTTTGGAAATCTTTCTCTGGAATGGCCATCAGAGCTATCATTATATTAACCTTGATGTCCTGAATGTCATCAACTGTCTTCCTTTCAATATTTCCTTTATCTTCGGGTCAAGAAAGAAGTCATTGGGGGCCAGATCAGGTGAGTAGGGAGGGTGTTCCAATACCGTTATTTGTTTACTGGCTAAAAACTCCCTCACAGACAGTGCCGTGGGAGCCTGGTGCATTGTCGTGATGCAAGAACCATAAATTGTTGGCGAAAAGTTCAGGTCGTCTAACTTTTCCCCACGGCCTTTTCAGCACTTCCAAATAGTAAACTTGGTTAAATGTTTGTCCAGTTGGTACAAATTCATAATGAATAATCCCTCTGATGTCAAAAAAGGTTAGCAACATCACGGCAACAAGTTCGGGAACTATATCATTAGTTCACTCCCCATCCCCTACCCCCAAACACTGTGTAAAAACATGTAGTCTGAGAACCAGCTCTGGTCAGCAGGCTTGGTATGGCCCAAGGATCACCAAATTGTGACCTCTGATCTCAGCTGGCTCCTCTCCAGTGGTGTTTCTCCAAAAGTGTTATGCTTTATAGGCAGGCCAATTCTTACTACATAGAAGCATTTTTCCAAACCCCTAGGAAGACATTTCATTCCTATCGCATGGGAAGGCAATTGTTTTCGATAACTACATGAAAAGTTATTTTTCTCATGTTCTTTTACAGCTTCTTCAAAGTCAAGTTCTAGATTCTGCTCTTCCTGGAACCCCTCTGTGATGTATTCCTCACTTACCTCTGCATACTGCCCCTTGGACGTGTTTCTCGTGTCCATGACATGGTAGTATTGCTCCAGGTCGTTCATTTTTGTGTACCAGTTAAGGTAACAGACTAAAAAACGTATGTCTGAAATGCAGTAGACATTTGTTCCTTGCTGTTGTATCACAGCTCTGAGCAGTTCCAGGCTGGGGAGCAGGGAGGCAAGACAGGGGCTCTGCTCCACTCAGCTACTCGGGGCGCCAGGTTGTGCCATGTCCGTGTTTCGTAAACATGTGGTTTACAAAATGGTAGTCGAGTTGTCTCCAACCAGTTGGCTGAAGTTTCGGGAAAGAGCATGGAGGAGTTGCCCATGGGACGTTTTTATGAATCAGGAAATGACAAACAGCATTTGTGCCTCTGTTCCAATCACATGGGCTCACCCAGCTGTGAGGGAGAGTTGGAAATACAGTCTGTGCACCCAGGAAGAGGCGATTTTATTGGGCGAACACCTACCCGTCTCTGGCATGGCCCTCCCTTTGGATCCTAATATACATTTCATCTCTTTGCCCTCACAGGACGCACTCCTCCTCCTCAGAGGCAGCAGCCCAAGTCCCATCCAGCTCAAACTCCAAGATCTCTTGGTGAGGACAGGTTTGGGTGTGGCTCCTAAAAGTCTGGAACTAAGACAAATGTATCCTCCCCTCCACTGACAATCTCTGTGGTAGGGCCCAGGCATGACAACTGTGCAAACTCCCACTGGAACCATCGGGGACACACAGTAGGCCCCAGCCCTCAGCACTTACAAAACCCTGCTGGTCAGGCATTGAGGAAACCCCTTTGACCTGGCAGTGGGACTGATGCTGCTCTCCGGGAAGAAATCCCGAGCTCATTATCCTCCCAAAGTCCAATGGCCACATGAGAAGTGGGCGTCGAGAACGCTCTCCTTGTGAGCTATACAGCTGTAGACGCCCACTTCATCTACTTCCGGTTCTGCAAGTTTGGGGGCCTGAGGGTCATTTGAAGGTGTCAACGTGTTGTTGTTGTTTAAGTCTGACCTGGCTTGTTTCCCTTGGCCATAAAAGTCCCTTGGAAACTTAGTAGGCTTCTCCCGTCTGTATCTCATCAATTCAATGCGTCAGTAACGAGACCTAAAATATTTTCCTGGACACGGTTGTGCTGCGTCAGTATTGTCTTGCCTGCTCCATCAGCTGAGCAGCGAGCACCCCGAAGCCATCTGGAACCAGAGGCACATGTGGGGCAACCATGCCCTTTATCCCATCTTTGCTGAAGGGGCAAGGCACCTTCTTTAGCCAAACAGTCTTAATGGGCCTTTACTACTTTTTAAATCTTATTTCCGAGGGATCTAGAGGCAATAGGCATCCCAATACTGGACATCCCCAAATTTCTGCATTTTATTCCCTTTTTTTTCCTCCTGAGCTCGCTTTTTTTCTTGAAAGCCTTTGCCAAAGGTAAGAGCCACCGGTCAATGACTGTCTGGCTCCTCAGAGCGACACACTCACTAGGCACATGGCACCCTCCTGGTACCACAGGCAAGAGCGCTGGGAAATAGTCGCCCTTCCCACGTGGGTGTCAATCTCTCGAGCCTCCAGTAGTTATTATACATCAGCACCCACCCCGGAGTCAGTGCCACATAGTTTAGGTTCTGTGACAGCAGCATCGCACTTCAGGGTTCCCATGTTCTTATTAGCTCAGGTCAGCCGCCGCAGCGAGCTGATTCTAGAACGCCTAAATGGCTGCCACTCTGGCTCCCGCGGCTGTGCTGGCTGGTTCCAGGTTAGTGGGGCAGGACGCTCCACAGTCACTCAGGGACCCAGGCTGGCAGAGCTAGGGTTCAAGCCAAACTAATGTTAACCCAAGAAGTTAAATGAACTAACAAAAACAGCATACTACACCCTCCCCTCCCCGCTCCAAAAAAAGTTAGAATAAAGTTCATTGTAAAAAGCAGAGGATTACAACACCTCATGGCAGGACAGAATCTTGGCGATCTGGGCCAAATCCGTCTTTTACAGATGAGAAAGCAGGTCTGAGTTTCCACTGCTGGTCCAAAGGTCACACAGCTAGTCACTCGGGGCCAGGCTCCGCCCCCTTAGCTGAGTCCTCCCCACACTGGCGGGAAGCTTACCATACAATGTGCTTCCGTGTGGGCATGGTGGGCGCATCTGTCCATTTTCAGGCGTTTTATCTAAGAGGGAGGGAACTTCAGTTTTGCCACCTCCATTTCTAACCTTTCATGCCACTATGGCTGTCAGAATGGACAGGAAATTGAAAGCTAAAAGCAGTTGTGTTGTCAGGCCCCTGGTGGCTTCCATGACTTGTTTTACACAAAGCAAGGCCAGAGTAGTGTCTACTGCAATTAATTTTCATTTCTAATTTCAGTTACGATGAACTTCTATACATTTCTTAAGTAAGTTCAAAATTGACCTGGCCTTGTGTATTCGTCACATAACGAAAAGTAAATTTTTGCTTTTAAAGTACGCAAAAACAAAAGCACAGAATTACTGAGGTATGAACATTACTAATTTGAAACAGAAAGCAGACATTCATTAAAATCACGTAAACTTCCTTCTGTTTCTCCTTCACTGATGGGCGGTCTCTCCTGCTGCTATTGCTGATGTTGTAACCACCCAGGACGGATGCAAGGTTCCATCCCGCTTAAATCTCTCCTGCTCTATAGAACACTAAGTGTGATATACTTAATTCTATAGTAACCCACAGGCCAACAAAGGCCTAATCAGGTCTGTAAACAGTCGTAACATGCCTTTTCAATTACCTTAAACATCCTTCAATAGACATCAATCACTGAAAACTAAAATGGACATGTGTGGAAAACCATCTTTTGACTTTGATAATTCATTTCACATCACAATAGTCAGCTCCCAAAATGTCACAGGAATCTCACATTTTTAACAAACAGGCCCCAAATTCCATTAAATAACCTAGAAGACAGTTTTCTATTATCTTCATGATACATTGACCTGAAATGTGTCAAATTTTCAACAATTACCTCCTTTGGTATTGAGAATCTTCACTGAAAACAAAAAGATGAAATGGCTAGAGATTTCTATTCACTATAGCTTTCTTTTCGAAGGAAATGTAATTACTACGTAAGTATCCCTTTAAGTCAAGGTTATATAACTTTTAACTAATATGACAAAGATTTTTTTTAAGTCCTCTCCAGTTTCCCCAAACCATCTTTGTGGCAACGCCACCAGCCTACGGTGGGGTCAGCAGTTTACCGCTTCACCAGCAGCCGTGTCACCAAAACCGGTCGCTTTGAGCTTTATGACACATGCACACCGTCCAGTTCTTTTTCAGGGCGCTCTGGTGTTCCATCCAGTATCCATCTCCCACCAGCTCTACATCAGAGAAATGAAGGTCCAGAAAGTGAAGTCCTTGTCCTGCCAAGGCTTACTGCCTTAGAGCCTGGGACTGCCCCGAGTCCCCCGCGAGTCCCACTGGGTGGAGGAGGCAGTCGCTGAGGTCCTGGGGCAGATCACAGAGCTGATAAATCCGCCCTGGTCAATGTCACAGGAGCTGACATTGCTCCCAGAGCATAGTGGGACCCCTCAGGCTCACTTCTCAGGTGCCAGACTGCTTTAGGAGTCCATCACATTTGTAATTTCAGCCTATTTTACAGTCTCAAGGAATCAACGGGGAGGGCTTCCCTTGCTCAGCCGGTCCTACTTGAAATCCAATACAGGAAGCCCCTGGCATCCTCCTTTCTTTTGCTGTGACATTCCCAGGAGCTAGAAACTCAATCCACACTAGGAAAGACACCCCAACCCAGGGAGACAGGGTTCTTCAGGTAAAACCAGCTTCTCTCACGTCCATCTTTTCTTTCAATCTGCGCTTAGTGGGATCACATACAGAATAAGGCGCACGTCCCTCAGCTGGTGAATACTGGGAGAGTAAGGCTTTCCGGGACTCCCAGAAATTTAAAGCCACAGGGGGACGTAGAGATTCTCTCTTTCAATGCCCCACATCAGCCCTGGACACTTGTCCAGGTCACACTGTTCTGAAGAACTAAGCTCTTGTCTCCTCACTGTGGCTCTGTGCCCACAACGGCTGACATGAGGCAACATCTACTTCCTTGTGCTTCTACAGTCAAACCACTAGCATCCCTGTTTCACCCAACCCTTTTACCCCTCCTTCAGGATTTCACTAGTCAATTTTTTTTTTAACTCTACCTAAAAATAGTTGTGGAAGTGACTGCAATTATGTTAACACTATAACATGAAAACACTTGTTTATCAACATTTTATATGCTTTATTGAAAGTTGACAAGTGCAACAGTTAA